CGTATCTTTATGTTTTTCGTGATGTCGCATGTAGATATGTGTATGTCAGACATGAGGATACATATAGAAAAGAAAAGGTGAGCTGTATGCGACATCAAGAAAAAGATCAGGATACGCTAAAAGAGAAAACTCTAATAAGATGATATTTATCCCATAAAAAAATGACATAATTATGACTACATTATGATACAATAAATGAGATAAATATGGAAGAGATATGATTTAAAAATGAACCATATATGGCATATAAATGAGTCATTCATGGCTCATTTTTTATCTCATTTTTCACGGCCTGGGTAGTCTTCTATGTTATATGTTATATGGTTGTATATGTTCTCCAGAACTATAGCTATCAACTCTTTACATCTTTTGCAAGATATTCATCGTCTATCATCAAAATACTATTACGTTTTTTAAGTCGTGAAGCGTATTTGTTAGTCACATTTATTTGTATAGAACTAACAGTAGAAACAACAACAATACAAAAGCTTTATTCAATTACAAAAAAATGAAACGCATTTAGAAAGATTATGATCACGACACTTTCACGATCCTTCTTATCTAAAAGGAAGAAGATTATTTTAGTTAGTTGAGAATAACTGAGTTTGTTTTTTTAATTTAAATAACTGACCCCACGTGACTCATTTCATATTGTGTTTCTCCGGCATTTGTAAACGGTAATGGAATGCTATTTATAATACCGCCAGTCATTTTAATCCATAACAAAACACCCACAACAGTAAGCCAAGCGAGAGGAATGACGACCGATAATACTACAATGTCGCTTGTTTTTCTCGGTTCAACTTTTTCATATAGTGTTACAACTCTTGTAATCGAACTAGGAGTTGCTCTCGTTGATGGCACAGCGCTTGTTGTCGAAGATAAGGTTGTTGTTACTGGAGTGGTCGACGAAACGATTGTTGTTGATGTAGTAGAAATTGCATTGGTAGTGAAAGTTATAACGGGTGTTGATGCGGATGGAACAGTGGTTCCGATAGAAACAACTGTAGTTGTTGACAACAACTCGATAGTTGTCGTACTGGTACTTGTGGTTTGTCTAAAATGATAGGATGAATGGAATGTTGAAAACTACTTTTTTTATCAGAGTGAACGTACATAGTTGGCCTTGTAGTTTCTAATGGGGGTGAAGTTGAAGTGATTCTATAGAAAATAAATAAAAGTAACTGTATTTCATGTAAAATAATATAATCAAAAATTTTACGGTGTTGTTGTAACATGCTGAGTAGTTTGTTGCAGAGTTGTAATGGAAGTTGTTCTACAGAAGAAAAAAATTTTATACTCGTTTTAACGATAATGAATTGAAAATTTCTTACGTTGTCGGGATTATGATTGTTGCACTTGTGCTCGGTAAGATAGTAGTGGTAATGACAACTGAAGTAGTAGTCTGAAAAGTCCAAAACAGCTATAGATTCAAGAACTATTATTACTATTAAAAAAGAGACAAATTCTGTAGAAATAAGCAAATTTAGCACGTGAAGTGACCGTCCAATAATCAATTTCTCCCTAGTTTTAAATTTTCAAATGTTATACTGCATACACCTAAACTGAAGCTATTATAATCTTTATTTTAGATCATTTAGATATAGCAGATATTATATCTGTCCTACAAACGGTTGAGTTAAGCTTAAATTGATTACCACTGGCTGGGTGGTTGCTGTTGTTGTTGTAATCACAGGTGTTGTTGTAATTATAGGTATTGTTGTGATCTTAATCGATGTACTACTGGCAGGCGCTTCTGTGGTAGTGACGATTGCTGTTGATGAAGTTAAGCTAGAAATAATAAGTCAATATTCAAAAATTGCTCTGAAGTGTCAGAGAATTATACGTACGTGGTCTCAGATACTGCCATTGTAGTGAATGGCGAGGTTGGGATAACTGGAGTGCTTACCGCATCTAATTAAAAAAACTGTACTGTTATCTTAAATCTATTATAGACCACTAGTCATTTTCTGAATAACTTTCAATAGAAAAAAGAAGAGACCTTCTGTTTTTGTCAATAAATAACCAAGACTTGAGAGCACCTTTTCGCAATTAAATAGAGCTTGGGAAAGCCAATTCAGATATCTAGAGCTTGAAATGAGAGAATATTTGTTTTTTATCTGAAGAAATAGCTCCAAGTGTCTTGTCACAAATGAGAGTGGTCTGAACTCTTCATTTATCGTGGTTCAGATGTAGCATCGAGTTTCCTTCGAGTAAAAGGACTAGTGTGATATGACTTGTAAGAATCTCGGACACAACTGGAACACAGGTAACTCTATTTTACCTGTTTCACACGGTGACAAAGCGATTCTTTAAACCGAATGGGTTACAGAGTTTCCAGGTTTCAGCTTGCATGGAAACAGTCTGAAATAAGTTGTTTCACATAAGTAGAGTCTTGTAGGTCATATCACACTAGTCCTTTTACTCGAAGGAAATTCGATGCTACATCTGAACCACGATAAATGAAGAGTTCAGATCACTCTCATTTGTGACAAGACACTTGGAGCTATTTCTTCAGATAAAAAACAAATATCCTCTTATTTCAAGCTCTGGAAATCTGAATTGGCTTTCCCAAGCTCTATTTAATTGCGAAAAGGTGCTCTCAAGCCTTGGTTATTTATTGGCAAAAACAGAAGGTCTCTACTTTTTTCTATCGAAAGTTATTCAGAAAATGGCTAGTAGTCTATTGATTTGAAAAGATAATAGGAGCTTAGTCGAGTTCCCGTTTCGTCGATCGGTTTGAAACATACCACAATTGCCCGCGTAGATGTTTATTTCATCTAATGCAAATGTATGTGTACCGCTACCACCGGTTCGCGAAAAGTCAAAAAAGATCTAAATAAACAAAATGAAATTCAATGTACTCAATGTTTAGAATG